ACCCCAGTAAGCGGGCTGGCCAGCTGCCAGATGACATTTGGCAGGCGGGGTGTGTGTGTGTGTGTGTGTGTGTGTGTGCAGGCACACACAAGGAGAGGGCAGACAGAAAGTTGATCCTGCCGCTGCGGCCTGGACAGTAAAAAAATTAGGCACTGGTCTCGCGTTCGAATGCTACCTTGGCCACAAGTCCGTGGGGGGGGGGCAGGGTTAGCACCACCAACCGCCCCCCACCCCCCGCTTGGTTTCAATCTCACCCACCCATTTTCCCCTTAAGGTTTCTGGCAACAAGCATCTTGCAGCGTTAAAGAAAGAAAAAGAAAAGCCATATCTTAAAAGACAGCTGCTCCTCTCAAGAGACAGCTGCATTTGCGGCCTAAGGCCACACTTCCAAACCCAGAACAGCATAGCATGCACAGCAGAGAGGGTGGTGAACGCCACTCCCCACGGCACAATCCCTCCACCCACCCACAATGCTGCAAAATCAGGAGACGGTAATTCCCTCCCCTTGCTCTTTTTCAAGAAGGGTTGGGGAAAAGGAGGATTTGAACACAGGCCTTTGAGTACCTCTGACCTTAAGTGACCTTCACTGTTAGTTGGAGGGGGTGGGGAATAAAAGCAGGGATCCTGGCATCACCATCTCTCCTGTCTTTAGGGCAGGGAAGAAGAACAAGAGAATCTTGGGGCGGGAGGGAGAGGGTGAAGCATTTTGTTGGGCATGTGGTCACTTCTGAAGCGTACGCTCCAAAATTTGGCAAGCGGAAAGAGGAAAGCTGGCACAGGGTCAAATGCCCAGCGGAGATAAGGGGAGGTGGGTGGTTGAGTGAACACGAGATGCCCTGATGAGCCAAAAATCGCTAGATAATGCCCTTTTAAATTAAAAATATAAATGAATAAAAGTTGGGTTTGGGGGGCAGGGGAAAGAGTTTTCTTCTGGTCCGTGGAAACCATTTTCTCTGGAGAGGAGCAGGCCTTGAAACTACAAATTTGTCTGTGGTTCTGAGGGGGGGGGGACAAGCACCCAATGTGGGCCAGGGTAGGAATAAAAAATGGGAGGGGTGGCATCAGGCCCACTCAGTGGAAATGGGGGGCCTTCCAAAACTAAGGGCGTTTGTTCTTGGGGCTGCCGCCTGAAGCTTGGGACGGGGCAGAGGCTGCATACGGAGTGTAAGTTGGGTTAGAAATGGTCCCCAGATTCAGTGGGTGGAATTTGCCAAGGAGCGAGACCCCCACTCTGCGGGTCACTAGTCCTCAATGTCCCTTTTCAGAGCCTGCACAATACCTGAACCAGGAAAGGGGGGTGGGAGTGCCTGGGTAGCCACTCCCTGAACCCGGGCTGCATTGGAGGGTAATGGGGCAGCATATATGGGGAGACAAGGTGGGGTGGGAGGAGGCTGTGTGAGCTGATCTAGGATCTAAGCTGGGTTATAAGGAGGATGTAACAGGGTGGAGGAGCTGGAGACATTAAAGTCCCCGGAAGAGTGGATTTGGGGGACACCAACATAAAAGGGTTGGGGTTTTCAGGGACTTTTTTGGGAGGTGGCAGGGGCATCGAATTGAAAGTCAAGCCTGCATTTCTAGACAGCGTCTCATTCATTCTTTGTTATCCACCACTTTCTTTGTACTGCTGTGATGGGCAATAATATTATTGTAAAGGTTATGTTTATGTGACCAGGAGGCCTGCCCTCCAGATCAAGATGGTATTGGGGCATAGGGTGTACTTTGGGGTCCATAAACCTTTTCCTTCCTCAAGATTGAGCAAGTTCCTGGGGGCAGAGACCTTAAAAAAGAAATTATTACAAGTAATTTTTGTGGGGTGGGAGTAGCACAAAGCCTGCAACTGTAGGAACAAGATTCATTGGGTGGTCAGTTGAAATTCATGTAACAGGCTCCACACACATTAAGGGAATGCCATAAAGTGGGTCTGGATTAGAGGGGCAGCGATCTAGCACCTGAATGATGGAAGGAAGCTAGATTTTAAGGGATTGTAGGGAAACCCAAGCGCGAGAGGAGGATTTCGGAGTTTTTACCTGGCAGTCATAGAGGACCGTCAGCTGTTCCAAGATCCATTCTTCCAAGTGGAGCCTCTTTCGGAGCTCTTTGCGATCGTATTTCACCGTCACCCGCCCCTGGCGCCGGACCGGGCCCTCCTCTTCCTCTGCGGCCGGTTCTCCCGCCGGGGGGCTTTGGAAATACACCCGGGGCCCCGTCCCCGCAGCCGCCGGGGGGCCGCTCTCCGGGCTGCAAGGCGCCGCCATCCGAACCGGATCGGAACCGGAGCGCGAGAAGGAAAAAGAGCGCGGATCAACCGCACACACACACGGAATCGCTGACTCCGCTTCCTGCCTTGGCGAGTCCTCCTTTTGTCTTCTTTTCCTTCCCCGACGCCACGTGGTGGGGACCCCCGGGTTGGATCCAGAGGGCAGAAGTAGCCCCAGCACCGGATTGGGCTTCCCCACCCAAACCCCACACACGGCTGAACCAAAAACCGAGGGAGGGGCAGGCAGAGAGAGAGAGAGAGCTCGATGCAAAGTCTGCCCAGAACCGAGCCTCAAGAGGACTAGCGCCACGTGCAGTCCGAACCCAGGGAAGGAACCGGGGGGTCTTTTATTTGGTTTGGTTTGATGGATCGCTGCTCCTCGTTCCCTGCGCCACGTGCGACGGGGTCTGGATCTGGCCTCTTCTTGCACACACAAGGGCAATAACTCGGCGCCGAACCAGAACCGGAATCCCGAACTCCGCCTTTCTTTCTCTCCTCCTCCTCTTTGTTTGCAAAACTGGAAACCGGTTTCGACTCTCTCCCTCCCTCCGCCCACCCGATCCTCCCTCCGGGCGCGATTGCTTCACTCCGCTTCAGGAGTTCCTTAAGCCAAGCAGGTCCAGTCCGGGTTCCGATCCGCTTTCGCCTCGGCCCTTTGTCCCGCTGCTGCTCCCGGGGCTGCTGCTGCTGCGCTGGCTCCGTCTCCCCGCTCCCCCCCCCCGCACCCCACCCCGCCCCCTTAAAGGGCCAGCACGTCGCTCTCCCTCTCCAGCCAGCGCTTGCCCAGCTGCCCTGCCTGACCACCCCCAGGGCTGACCGGCCGGACGCTCGCCCTCTTGATACCACATCCATCCCCCCCCAGCTTGCCCCACCCTAATGCACCCCCCCTTTCATATCTCCTGTCTGGAGACATGTTTTCTCCCCCCCCCCTCCGCCCACTCCTCAATCTATTCTCTCATCAAAAGGGTGTGCCCGGTTGTCACACACACACACCAATTTCTGTCTGCTTTGCCACAATGGTTTGAAAATTCCGCTTTGTCAGTCGCTTTGATCTCTATCTCTCCGCGCGCCTTGTTGGAAGAGAGGAGGGGCGGGTGGATTAGCTTCCATCAGGTTAATCTTAGTTTAATGGCTTCATTTGTTTATTAGGTTAATGCTTGTGACCTGACTGGCATCGTATGGATGCTGTTAAGGCGTCCACGTGAATGTCAGGTCATGAATAGCAGCAGGGGTAGTTCTGAACCACAAATTGTATATGTGTGTGTGTGTGAGAGAGAGAGATTTAGACACAGAAACATAATTTTTTCTTACATATCAAAAGATTTATTATTTTATTATTATTAATCTATTCATGGCCTTCTACACAATTGTCTCAAGGCGATGTACAATCAAGAACAGAAACAGCAGGAGAAGGCAGATGCGTTTAAGACCCACATTATATGAGATTTGGAGAGGTATTGCTTTTTTTATTGTGCACAGAGCCATATAAATAGATGTTAATAATAATAAAACAAAATAAGAAGGATACAAAACAGGCACTCATGGGCAAAGGCTCATTTAGCCAGCTGGAAAAGCCTGTTGGAACAAAAATGGAATAATGAAGTGCAAGTGCGTGTGATCCAATGTCAATCCTACTCAGAGTAAACCCATTAAGATGAAGAGGCATGATTCACTTGCATCCATTGATTGCCATGGGTTTACTCAAAGTAGAACTTAGTTGGGTGCAAGCCATTATTTATGATGCAATATATTGATAAAAGTATGTATGAAATTTCAATAACCATGAATGAAACTCAGTTTACTATGACCCAAAAATGCACTATGAGTCTCTGTACACAGACGTATGTTTGCTTATTTCACTCGATAAAATATATGCATGTATACAAATATGCTAATCCAGATAGGCACAAATATGGATGTCATATCAGGCAGATGGATACATTTTTCATTGCATCAACTACATCGTGTATATATATGAATTGTGTGTGTGTGTTGGTGATGATAATCATATGTGCTGAATCATTTTGTCTGTGTACAGACATTTTGGAAGAACGTATGCTTTCTAATGTATACACAAATTTTGTCTGTCTGTGTATATGTGACGTATACACACAAAACTGAAGCCACTTTGGTTAAAGGAAGAGTCTTGCGGAGCTTTCCAGTTAAGTGGGGTGGGGGGCTATTTCTGCAAAACAAACAAACACCCCTACCCATCACTCCATTTCTACCCCAATCCACTTGCAAAGTCTCATTGCATCCATCTTCTGCCATTCTGCAACAGGCATGTTTGTCCGATTTAAATATGATTTCCAAATCTGGAGAGGGCAAAACTCCAGGGTGGTGAGGAAGAAGTGAGATACTTATTTTTTAAAAGGGGAAGGGTCAGCATGTATAACCCTGGCGCTTCTAGTACTGTGATTCATCTGGTTCTGGGGAGGGGTTTTGTTGTGTTTGGGGATGTTGTCACCCTTTGCCTTGGTTTGGATACACATCATGGTATTGTTTTTAATCCTGATTATTGACTCCGGATAAACTTCCCTTAATCCCCTTCACTATCAGCTAACAAGGTACTCGGATTTCAACTCTGAGCAGATTGTGGTTTAAAAATGAAGATTAGAGCAATGCCCCAAAGCAACAATTGCTTATCTTAACTATATCTGCATTTATTCTTGAGAAAGATGCCCCTTTTTGTTCTGCAGGGGCGCCTATAATCCAATTAATTAATTAATTAATGATGTATATGTACTGCCCTATATCCTCAGGTCTCAGGGTGGTTACAACATAAAAACACAAACTGCAAAAAAACACAGCATGCTTTTCACTGCATCACATCAGGCAGATATCCAACAGGCTATTATCCTGGAATAAGAGACGGTTGGTTGGTTTCTTTGTAGCTTTTTTAATAAATAAAAAATCAGAGACCCTGCTCACAGTGGATTGGGAGAAACTGGGGTTTGGAAGGGCATAATCTTTGCTTCCAACACCCCACAGGGCTTTCTCCTCTCTGCATAGTGAAATGCACAAATGAAAGGCAGACTCTCGCCAAGTGGTGGATCTGAGTTTTAATCTCAAGGTCCCAGCATTGCCTAAACAGGAGACTGGAAACAAGCTTATACCTTGTGATCGAATGCCAATTTTTTTTAAAAAAGACCTCTGTGGCTTTAAGATACAAGACTCTTGGCGGGGGGGGGGGGGAGTTGGACCACGTGGTTTGGGCCCCAACAGAAGCTTAATTCAGCCACTTCCTGCCAGAGTTGGGGGAAGCAGCAGCAGCAGCAGCTGCAAGGCACACTTCTGAACATAGGAAGTTTGAGTCAGATCGTTGGCTAGTATAGGCCAGATTGGCAGCAGCTCTTTGGCATTTTGGGCAGAGATTCCTGCCCCCACCCCTTGTTTTTCGAGATCTTTTAAATGGAAGAACCTAGGACCCAGGGAAACTGAGGCCATTTTGCATTCTGTGCTCCTGGATGCAAATGCAAATTACATTTCTGCACATTTGACAATTGCTCCCCATTTCCTCTGCAGGCTGATCCTCAGTGTGACCCGTCTGGCTTCCTTCCTTGCAACCTAAATCTTCTCCAGAATGAGAGGTTGCGCTTTGAAAACATCAGCATCTGTGACCTGCCTTCCTTGGAGGTCTTTAAGCAGAGGTTGGGCGGTCATCTGTCGTGGATGCTTTAGCTGAGATTCCTGCATTGCAGGGGGTTGGACTAGATGACCCTCGGGGTCCCTTCCAACTCTACAGTTCTGTTTCTATGCAAGCAGAACATGGGTGCCTTAACCCTCTCTTGCTTGTGATCCCCAGCAACTCGTAATTCAAAGGCTCGGCCCCCCTCTGATCCTGGAGGTAATATAGCCCTCATGATTAGCAGCCATTGTTCCTTATCCTCTGTGAATTTGTATAATCCCCTTTTAAAGCCCCCTAAATTGATGGCTGGCAGGGTTAACAATGCGCTGTGCGGGAGAGTCTTTCCTCTTGTCCGCAGTGAATCAGCTCCTTTCAGCTCCACTGGATGAAATACGGAAAGTGGTGGCTGGTGCCCATTGGGTCTGATGGGGCGGTCAGCATGGAGCCCAACAGTAGGTGGCGCCAGAGACAATGGCAGGCAGAGCTGATGCTACATTTGTCCCCATCCTGCTCCTTCTCGCTGAATTCTACAAGGGGCAACACTGAGACTGAGGCAGGTGGGGCCACTTTCCTGGACTGGTTGCATGAAAGAAGGAAAGCAGGTGGGGCTGGCTGAGGGCAGACTGAGGTTGGTGGGGCAGTGCCCCATTTGCCAAACAGACCAGCCTCCACTCAATAGGAAAAGGGAGAAACTCAGTCCAATTTCTCCATCACATAGACGCTTCAATCATGTCTCCCCTTACGTGTCTTGCTCGCTCAGAGACCCACAAATTGTAAGCCCCCACCCCCGCAAATATGGGAGATGCTTCAATAGCATCCTGATTGCCTGTTTTCTGCACCTTCTCCATCTCAACAATATCATTTTAAAAAAAATATTATTATTATTTGATGTGGCACCCAGAATTGTCTGGAGCAGCATTCTAGGTTGCCCAGCTTGGAAGGGGAAATGTGCTGTGTGCTACAGGAAAAGACAAAGAGGTTGATTTGGGGACAGCCCACCTGTTGGGCTGCAGTTTGTGCCACCAGTTAAGCCCGCGAATGTTCTATCATAGAATAATGGAATTGTAGAGTTGGGAGGAACCAAGGGGGTCATCTAGTCCAACCCTTTGCAAGGCAGGAATCTTTTGCCCATGGACTCGAACCCATGGCCCTGAAATTAAGAGTCTCGCACTCTACCAAGTGAGCTATGAGATGCTTGCACTCCTTCCTTTTTCTTTATTCCCCCTCCTATAACAAACACTCTACTGTACTAACACTCTGGAATTAGTCACCTTGCGGGGAGACTTTAAAGAGGCAACTCAGCATCTGTAGGACAGGAGGGTGGGGGCAAAGTCTTTCTGTCAGAACAAAAGAACAAATCCCTTATTTGCTTGCCAGGAGGCCTAACCATGAACTAATTAACCCCTCATACAGCCAGGGGTTCAGAGTCCAGAGACGTCCAGAGTCCAGCATTTGAGGTCCGTAGGTTAGCAATAACATGATGACGATGATGATGACACTCAAAAAGAAAATAAACCCCCCTCCGCCCCAAAAGCGTGAGTAGTTTGGTGACATAATCAGCTGTTCTGAGAGGAGGCGTTCCTAATCTCAAGCCATATATTTCAATCAATATTTGTTAACACTCTAAAACTCTCTAATAGGAGAAAATCTATGTCAGTTAACTAAGAGCAAACAAAGCCATGCCTGTCTTTTATCAGATCTCTTACAGTGGTACCTCGGGTTACATACGCTTCAGGTTACATACGATTCAGGTTACATACACTACAGGTTATAGACTCCGCTAACCCAGAAATAGTAACTCAGGTTAAGAACTTTGCTTCAGGATGAGAACAGAAATCGTATTCCGGCGGCGCAGCAGCAGCAGGAGGCCCCATTTGCTAAAGTGGTGCTTCAGGTTAAGAACAGTTTCAGGTTAAGAACGGACCTCCGGAACGAAGTAAGTATGTAACCAGAGGTACCACTGTATTTACTTAAATTCACAGCTCTAAATGAGGAGTCTCTTGTATTTTGGTCTGGCGGCACATAAAAAAAAAGTTGTCAAATGCCCCCCAAATCAACCTAACCTACCTCACAGAGTTGTTGTGGGGAATAAATGAGAAAGGGGAGACCCACATACACCACCACCCTGAGCTTCTTGGACCTGAGAGCGACAGCAACTTTCCTCGCTTGTGATTCCTAGCAATCGATATTCGGAAGCAATGGATGCAGAACGGAGCCATCCTAGCCGGTGGCCCCTGTCAGCTTGATCGGCCATGAATTTGTCAAACCCCTTTTTAAAGCTATCCATACTCGTAGTCCTCTTGGTGGAGCAAACTTCACAGCTTAACTACTGTAGGTGCTCTTTGAAGAAGTCCTTCGTATTGTTTGACCTGAATCTTGAGCGCACATCTTCTGATTTATTTATACATCTCCCTGTTAATCATTAGCTCACGCAGAGAACCCTGACTATGATGATGATTGATGGGGCAAGACAGCTATGATGTGACTCAGAGAAGCAATACAATAGTTAACCTCTAGTGGGCACTGTTGTGTTCTGTGCTATCTGTCAATATTTATCTATCTCTAATCATTAGGCCTTGTTTGTGGCCTGCATCCCTTATGCAAATTCAGCAAATGGACCTATATGGATCTATACAGGCTTACACAGCAAACATCCATTCATCAATGAAAAAACAAGAAAAAATATTGGGGAGGGGGCACACGAATTGAGTTCAGCATATTGTAGAGTTCATCAACCCCAAGCAGAAATTTTACCTAACATTGTCCACAAGTAGTTTCTTACGTCTTTTTGCAATACTCTCCAGTCATGTTCCCAGGGCAGTTTCATTCCGGTAAATCTTGACAAACATAAGGTCTAGAAACTTAAAACAAAAAACCAGAGGTGGAATTTGGATATGTGTGTATTGAATTCTGTATCCGGTATCAAATTCCTTGCTTTTCTATAGTTGCACAGAAATGCCCATTTAAAAATGCAACGCCCACTTCTCCTTTTTCCTTCCCTCAAGTCGTCCTTCCTTCATTCTCGTAATTTGGCTTGGAGAGGAGAAAATTGCTTCAACGGGCTTTTTGCCTGCAGCTCTCCACACCTGCCACTAGATGGCAAGGTCTCCCCAGGACAACAGATATCCACAGGTGTTGAAGCAAAACTCCAAAAACGGCACATTCAGTTTGGCCTTTATCTTGCTTTTTCCAGGGTTTCTTTCCACAACCCTATGGTAATGCACGGTATGTCAGAGCCCAAGTTCAGTGGTCTCTTCCCCTGTGCAGCTCAGCCCATGTCGGTTCTAAAATAATAACAGTAATTTAAAAATATCATATATTCTAAGCGCAGTTCATTGCCTCCTTTTTAAGCATTTCTGTGATCGCCTCTTAAAGCTTTCCTTGCAAAGGATGTGTAGAGGTCCTAGATCTGGACATGGAACTACTGGGAGGTTTTGCTAAAGTGCCTTTGGGGTCAGCACATTTTTGTGTTATGGACAAAGAGAGGTTTGTTCAATATTTGCTGCACTGCCCTCTGTATAAAGTTATTCAAGCTGGATCCCCCCTTTTAAAATAAAAATTTAATTATATACTGAGTAAAGTTCATAGCTGTCAACTTAGGTTAGATGACCATCTGCCGGATTTCTGTATCTTTGAATCCCCCCCATTGCAGGGGTTTGGACTAGACCATGGGTAGGCAAACTAAGGTCCGGGGGCCGGATCCAGTCCAATCGCTTTCTAAATCCGGCTCGCGGACGATCCAGGAATCAGCATGTTTTTACATGAGTAGAATGTGTCCTTTTATTTAAAATGCATCTCTGGGTTATTTGTGGGGCATAGGAATTTGTTCATTATTTTTTCCAGAATATAGTCTGGCCCCCCACAATGTCTGAGGGACAGTGGACTGGCCCCCTGCTGAAAAAGTTTGCTGACCCCTGGACTAGACCATATGACCCTCAGGGTCTCTTCCAACTCCACAATTCTATGAAAAGGGGTGTACAAGAAAAAATAAATTCAGACCCTATCATTGTTGGGTATATTGCATTAATATGTCTGTAGTGATATCCATGCTACTTATAGTTACAATAATAATTTGTAAATTGTACTGTATACCTTTCTATATCTTAGGTATCAGACCCAAACTAGATTTTTGCCTGGTCTGCCTGATTCTAGGATATCAGATTATGAGCCAGGAGGTGAAGCATTTATTCTCTCCAATCTGATCAGGTTAAATATAAGGGGTTGTAGCCAATGCTAGACCTACACAGAGTAGGTGTGCTGAAGTTCATAGGCATGGCTTAGGTTCATTATTTCCATTGGGTCTACTCAGAGTGCAAGTTAAGTTAGATACAGCCCAGGATTTGCATCCGAAGCATAGAAAATAAACAGAAGTACAGCCAGTGTAATGTCGTCTTCTAACAGATCGTTTCATTTGATTTTTGAAATTCTTGCTCTTGTGTTTTATTATTTAGATTTTATAGTACATCGGTGGTGGACGACCTGAGGCCACCTGCTCTCTGTTTGGCCCTCTCCTTAGGCCAGACCCCTTCCCCAGCCATGCCCCCTACCAGGGGTGGCTGGTACCCATTAGGTCAAGGAGGGCAGAAGACAGGGAGCTGCCAGTAGGTGGAGCCAGAGGCAATGGCAGGCAGAGATGGTCAGTCTAGTTTTGTCCCCATCCTCCTCCTCCTCCTCTCTGATAAGTTCTACAAGGGGCAACAATGAGATGCAGGTGAAGGAAGCTGGCAGCCAACTCTACCACCGTACTGATTGTAAGTAAGGAGGCAGCCCAGTGGGGGCTGACAGAGGGCAGGCAGAGGATGGTGGGGCAAGGCCCCATTTACCCTACTCGGCCAGCCACCACTGACCCTGCCAGACCCTATTTTCCAGAGACAGTCCTGGATTCACAGAAGCTGTCCTGGTTTCTGAATTGATCCCAAAACATCCCACTTTTCCTTAGGGTGTCCCTAATTTCATTGGTGAAATGTTGGAGGGTATGGTAGGATGGCCCTATTTTTGTCTGAGAAATGTTGAAGGTTATGGAGTTCTCCAAACCCTGAGCCATCTGAAGGCAGCCCTGTATAGGGAAGTTTCGAAACTGGGTGTAAGTAGGGATTGGTAAATATTGAGGATGTGTTAACAAAGTTGTAAGCAAAGAACAACTTTTGGAGTGTTTGTGTGTAAATTGCAGTTATGTTTAGAATGGTTGGATGAAATGGGGGAGGATGAGGAGATTTCACCCCTCCCATATCCAAGAATTTGCTGATGTTCTCTGCTGATTCTCCAGAGAGGAGGGGGCCATTTCTGCTCTCTACTTATTCCACTCCAGCCTTACATCAAAGAGAGAGAGAGAATGAGTGTTAGAGAGAGATCGTATGTATAGATAAGGTTGCTGCTAAGAGCAGCTGCAGACACTCAGTGCAGTTCAGCATTTTCGTTTAGACCTCATTTAGCTCTGTACATAGTTGCGTATTAGTTGTAGATAGAATAAAGAAGATATTCTACAGAGCTGCTCTCCGAGTCGTTTATACTCTGCTATACTCTGCTGTGCGACGACTGTCTTCTTGTTGGAGTGAATCCGGTGCTCACAACTCTAAGCTGTGAGTCCACAGCACTTTGACCTGTTCCTGTGTAGAAGGTGGTCTCTGGAAGTGCTACCCAGCTCGCCTGGCCCAGTCGGGGCTGAAGTGTATGAGTCCAGTTGGTGGCACTGGCTCAAGGGCGATGCTGACAAATATATCCATTTTGGTTCCTCTCAGTGTCTCCCTTTTCCAGTCTAAAGTTCAGTTTGGGATACATATTTTTTTAAGTCCTCATGAAGATTCATCAACATTTGAAGGCAATTTCCTCTTAATATACACTTTTTTATATGCAATTTTGCCTAATGCAATACAATGTTCATATGTTATTTTCACAAATATATGCATTTACATGCACACTTTAGTATGTGAATTTTGTACACATTACTTGTCCGGATCTGTGTTGTGAAATTCAGAGAAGTGCAAATTTCGAGGGATGGCTGTGTTTCTGTTCTCGTATTGTTTTATAAAGTGCAAATCAGGTACATTTGCCTTTAGATATGAACCGAATCAAATTTCTCTTCCTGTTCCTAGGTGTGGGACCTTGGCAGACGGTCAAACATGTCTCCTTTGGGCGCTGCCTCTGGTCAGATATTTACATTCAACCTCGTAATCTGACATGATTCATTGTTTTAAGCGAATGAATCAAACTTCACTGAATGACGGGGGTATTATTATTTTCATTTCTCTATTTATTTGGCTTGGACAGCTGAAGATCCCTGATGAAATTCTTCAGATACTGCGCCGCCAGAATCCTCTGTTCATGTATTCGAGGTTTTCCCCCTGAAGACCGTCTCCCGTGGATCGCGGCCCTGGGGTGCGTGTGTCTAGTCGATGGAATTGGATTCAGCATCCAGCCCCTCTTGCACAGAAAGTGTCAAACGGAGGAAGATGAACTAGGCGTTGCGGGAGTAAACGTTGCCATCTTGTCAAGACTAAAATAAACTCCCCGTTAATAAACGAGGTTGGGGATTGGAAGAGAGCTTTTCGCCATAAAAGGAGCCGAACGCTAAAATTATTGCCCCTGGAACCATCGTGGGAGTAAAGAAATTGTTTGTATTAAAAAAAGGAATGGTGTGTGTGTGTCTGTGTGTAACTCATCCTGGGGTCTATATATACAGCTTCCCTGCCGCCCTACATGACTCTAAAGCACCTTTTGACCCCCGTGCTATTTGTGGGAAGGTCTGCGTGTTGTTGATGGGCAACGGAGAGCTGAAGAGAGACATCATTTGAACCAGAATGTGCAATTTAGCCCTGGAGTTGGGAACCGATAGCCTTCCAGATGTTGTTGGGACTCCAACTCCCACCAGCCCCAGCTAGCACAGCCAACGGTCAGGGTTGATGGGATTTGTAGTCCAGAAATGTCTGGAGGGTCACAGGACTCATCTGGCCACCCAGATTATTGAGCCTTCATCCTGATTCGCTTGTAGGATGCTTATGTGGAGGTCGGACCATGCATTATCTTTACTGAACGTCGATCCTGATATGTTTCCCACTCATCATTTGTTCATCCGTTTTTCTATGCATTTCCTCATCACTTTCCTAACTGCAAAAATTCTTTTAAAAAGTGGCTTTGTTGCACTCAGAAGAGAGGGGACTTGAACCCCCATATATGGAATTTTTAAATGTTTGATGCTTAATATTTTTTTATATCTGTTGGGAGCCGTCCAGAGTGGTTGGGGCAACCCAGTCAGATGGGTGGAGTACAAATAACATTATTCTTATTTTTATTATACCTCCTGCAGGTGACAGGTGTGAGTTTGACATTTATGTGACAGCCCCAATAATGTACTTTTAGGCTGCTAAAATAAAATATTCATTACATGTCTAAAAGCCAGCAGGCATTTATGTACATGTGCCAAGGCTTTGTTACAGTCAAGGAGAACGCTTTTGATAATTAGGAAACATGAATTATTGTATTATATGTATATATTGTATATATATGTGGAACCTTGGTTCTTGCATGCCTTGGTACTCGAACATTTCGGATCCTGAACACCGAAAACCCGGAAGTAAGTGTTCCAGGTTTTGAATGTTTTTCAGAAGCTGAACGTCCGATGCGGCTGTCGGCTATTGTTTCCGGGGCGCCTGCGCCAACCGGAAGCCGCGCCTTGGTTTTTGAACATTTCAGAAGTCGAATGGACTTCTGGAACGGATTACGTTCCAGAACCAAGATACCACTGTATTTGCTACTCTGTTGTAAGCAGCCACGCATTCCTTGGTGACGTAGAGCGTTTGGGTCTCGAACCAGAGACCAAGCCTGTGCTTAGTTCACCAGTAGAGGGAGCCACTGGCTTGCTCTCTTTCTTGCACTTGGGTGCCACCAATGCAGCTGGCTCGAAGGAGGTACTGCAGCTTCCAGACTCAGCAGATGTCAGGTGACGCAAGAAGCCAATGGGCTTTTGTCTGGCCCATCTATCTATCTATCTATCTATCTATCTATCTATCTATCTATCTATCTATCTATTCATGTCTGTGTTTGTAGAGAAATGCAAAGCCCTCTTTTTCAGGTGTCTTTCCAGAACCCTGGCAGGAAAATGGGGAGTGGGGGAGGAAGTGGAATACGCATTATCCAGTGCAACATCAAAATAATAATGACTTATTCTTGTTTTTAAATTTATCTTGCAACCTTCCCACCCTGATTATGCAAACACATACGCTCGGAGTTCGCTCAGATGTAAGCATCGCCTCTGCGCTGTGACTTGGTGGCTGTGATTCAGTTTTCCCTTCCGCAGACGAGGAAGAGAGTCTGTGGGGTCAGGACCTGTTTTCTTCCTTTCCTCTGTGTTTACATTCTCTCCCAACTCCCTGGAAGTTCAAAAGCGAAGGCTGCTTTCCTCTGTGGACTACGGCCAAGTTGGCTTAGCGCTATGATCCTGTTAAATAACTTTCTTGAAAGCAGGGTGCGGCTGAGATCGCTCTCTGTACAGGGGAAGCCCTCCAGCCTGGAACAAAACAACAGCATTTTATTCTCTCTAGGTTTTCCTGGTGCACATATGACCTTTCTGGCCACTAAATTACAGCTGGTGACGTCCTCCTTTCCCACGGCGGCCCTAGCTTGAGATCTGATGCCTTGGGCTGTGGACACAACATAATTTTAAAAGCACATGGCTTCCCCCCCTTCCCCACAAGAATCCTGGGAACCGCAGTTGGTTAAGGGTGCTGGGAATTGTAGCACTGTGAGGGGTAAACTATAGCTGCTAGTATTCTTTGCGGGGAAATATGTGCTTTCAGTGTATGGTGAGTATTTCAACCACAGGCCGTGGAGTCTATCTGGTGTAGCGGCCTGCGTTTTGGACTAGGGAGGTGGTTGTACCTTGAAAGAGTATGGCCGGATAGCTTAGCCGGTAGAGCTTGAGACTCTTAATCCCAGGGTTGTGGGTTCGAGTGCCACATTGGGTGAAAGATTCCTGTATTGCAGGGGCTTGGACTAGATGACCATTGTGACCCCTTCCAGCTCTACAATTCTATGATTTACCCCTGAAGAATCGTGGGAACGGTAGTTTGCTCCTCACAAAGTAACAATTCCCAGAACCGTTAACAAACTACAATTCCCAGGATTCTTGGGGGGGGGATGTGCTTTACAATGTGCTTTATGGTGTGTACGCAGCCTTGTTCAGCAGTTTGAACATCACATCTGTGGAAAAGGAGAGCAGAAGGCCAGGACCACAACCCAGATATCAAAGGCCATAACCTCCCTTTCCTAGTTAGGCCTTTCTTCCCTGGAGATGGCGTAGTTGTTGTGAGTGACTCAGGCTAGGAGCTGTAAGCTGGGGAAATTCCCATCCCACTCTAAGATCAGCGATGAGCGACATTTAATGATGTTTATGACCCAGTGCCACAGCACTCTTCTGCCTCCTTAAAGGGCCCACAACCTTAAATCTCAAAAGCAGCTTGCACTTAGATTTCATTTTGCCTAGGCTTGCATGGCATGCTGCCCTCTCAACAAACCAGCCCCTCAGTTCGCTGACTTCTGTAGCTATGTACACACCATACACTGAGGACCCCTCCAGACTTCTTTTTTATTTCATGCTCGTGATGATTTGCGTTCCTGGTGCTATTAGAGCAGTCACACAGGTTCCCACGTTCAATACCATTTGTACCTGCAAAGGTGCTTTTTTTTGGGGGGGGTCCCCACACCGCTTCCCTTCCAAGCAGTGCATATCCTGCTGAAGTTCAGGAATGTTTTACACCACAAAAGTTCTGGCATATTTTTCTCCCACTTGTGTTTGTTTGTTGGTACTATAGCCCTTCTGAACAGCAATAATGGCCCCGTCTGCACTATTTCAAGCAGTTTCATTGCACTTTAAACAGTCATGTCTCTCCCCCCCCCCGAATTCTGGGAACAGTAGTTCATTAAGGTGCTGAGAATTATTGTTGTTGTTTAGTTGTTTAGTTGTGTCCGACTCTTCGTGACCCCATGGACCAGAGCATGCCAGGCACTTCTGTCTTCCACTGCCTCCTGCAGTTTGGTCAAACTCATGCTGGTAGCTTCGAGAACACTGTCCAGCCATCTCGTCCTCTGTCGTCCCCTTCTGCTTGTGCCCTCAATCTTTCCCAATATCAGGGTCTTTTCCAGGGAGTCTTCTCTTCTCATGAGGTGGCCAAAGTATTGGAGCCTCAGCTTCAGGATCTGTCCTTCCAGTGAGCACTCAGGGCTGATTTCCTTAAGAATGGAGAGTTCTGATCTTCTTGCAATCCATGGGACTCTCAAGAGTCTCCTCCAGCACCATAATTTAAAAGCAGCAATTCTTCGGCGATCAGCCTTCTTGATGGTCCAGCTCTCACTTCCATACATCACTATTTCCCCTGAATGGGTTACAATTCCCAGAGTGGTTTAATAATAATCCTTCTTCCCAGGGAACTTTGGGAATTGTAGCTCTGTGAGGGGAATGGGGCTCTCTCTTAACAACTCCCAGCACCCTTAACAAACTACAGTTCCCAGATTTGGTGAGGGAAGCCATGACTGTTTAAAGTGCAATGAAACGGCTTTAAATAGTGCAGATGGGGACAAAGGGATATCATTGAGGAAGCTTCTTGAACAAACTAGTACCGTATCCTTTTTTTTTGAGGGTGTGCTTTAAATGTATATACAGCCAGCCTCAGTGCCTTAAAGCACTTTCCACATTTGCTGTTCCTTGACTACCACTACCCAACATCCGGCAGCATAATAATTGCCACCCCAGGACTCTCCCTCTCCCATAATCTATAAAATGGGTGCAAGACTTCCCCCAATCTTTTCTGCAACCTTTAGAACAGAAGTAGGGAACTACCTTTGCAGGACAAAGATACAGTTCCTCAAGAGAGACCCGTATCACAGGTCTGGGATTTCAGAAATCCTGAAAAGTGGTTGATGGATTAAGTATCTACTGTTTTGGCAGCATGGCCCTAGATGGAATTTAAATGTTCTCAGAATACATGCGTGGATTTTATCCTCCCAACAACCCTATGATGTAGGCTTGGCTGAGAGCAAAAGAGATAATAATAATAATAATAATAATAATAATAATAATAATAATAATGGTTTTCCCAGTAGTGATGTGGGGAAGTGAGAGCTGGACCATAAAGAAGGCTGATCGCCGAAGAATTGATGCTTTTGAATTATGGTGCTGGAGGAGACTCTTGAGAGTCCCATGGACTGCAATAAGATCAGACCTCTCCATTCTTAAGGAAATCAGCCCTGAGTGCTCACTGGAAGGACAGATCCTGAAGCTGAGGCTCCAGTACTTTGGCCACCTCATGAGAAGAGAAGACTCCCTGGAGAAGACACTGATGCTGGGAAAGATGGAGGGCACAAGGAGAAGGGGACGACAGAGGGCGAGGTGGTTGGATAGTGTTTTTCGAGGTTACCAGCATGAGTTTGACCAAACTGCGGGAGGTAGTGGAGGACAGAGGTGCCTGGCGTGCTCTGGTCCAGGGGGTCACAAAGAGTCGGACACGACTAAACGACTAAACAACAACAACAACACAATAATAATAATAATAATAATAGATTGAATTAATATCCTGTCTTCTTTTCTCCAAGGAGCTCAAGGTGGCTTGCATGCTTCTCCCCCTCCTCATTTAATCCCCACACA